TCACCATGTTGACCAGGATGGTCTCGATCTCTTGACCTTGTGATCCACCCACCTCGGCCTCCCAAAGTGCTGGGATTACAGGCTTGAGCCACCGCGCCCGGCAATTTTTGTATTTTTAGTAGAGACAGGGTTTTGCCATGACTTGAGGCCAGAACTCCTGGGGCCTAAGCCACCCAAGTAACTGGGATTACAGGTGTGTGTCACCATGCCGGTTAATTTTTGTATTTTTAGTAGAGACAGAGTTTTACCATGACTTGAAGCCAGAACTTCTGGGCTCAAGTGATCTACCCTCCTTGGCCTCCCAAAGTGCTGGGATTACAGGCATGAGCCACTGCGCCTAGCCTAAATTATTATTATGAAGAGCCAGGTGATTAAGGTTGCAGTGTCTCTTGGGCCCTCTGATTCCTTTATATCTTTAACCACTGAGCCAGACGAGGGATCCTGGCTTCCCCTTGATCCTAATCTGAGCCTTTGCAATGGTAGCCACCATTTTCTGAGACCCGTGTGTCTTACGTGCATTATCTCATTTAATCCTTTTCACAGTCTTCAATTAGATATTATGAGCCTCATTTTACAGATGTGGAAATGGAGGTTTAGGTTGGTTAAGTGACCTGCCCAGGGTCACCCAGCTAGGAAGTGGTGGAATTGGGAATTGAATCCAGGACTGGCTGAATGAAGAGCCCAAGCTTTTCGTGTGATAATGCTGCGTCTCCCAATATGTGCAGGTGGAAATGACCCCTGAGAAGTTCAGTGTCTTGATGGAGAAGCTCTGTAAAAGGGGGCTGGCAGCCACCACCTCCATGGCCTATGCCAAGCTCATGCTGACAGTGATGACCAAGTACCAGGCTAATGTGAGTATTGATAGGGCCATGGGGCTGATCCTGCTGGCAAGGCTGCCCTGGGCTTGCCACAAGGGTGTATGAATTTGTGTGCCAAGGATAAAACCCTGAGTGCTGGCTGGGCACAGTAGCTCACGCCTGTAATCCCAGCACTTTGGGTAATCCCAGTACTTTGGGAGGCCAAGGCAGGCGGATCATGCAGTCAGGCCAACATATGGTAAAACCTCATCTCTACTAAAAATGCAAAAATTAGCCAGGCCAACCTGGCCAACATATGGTGAAACCTCATCTCTACTAAAAATGCAAAAATTAGCCAGGCATGGTGGTGCACACCTGTAATCCTAGTTACTCAGAAGCCTGAAGCAGGAGAATTGCTTGAAGCCAGGAGGTGGAGGTTGCATTGATATCGAGCTATTGCATTCCAGCCTGGGCAACAGAGTGAGACTCCATCTCAGAAAATAAACAAACAAACAAAAAAACCCTGAGTGCTAGCCAGGAAAACCATAAGTTCAAGCCCAGGACTGGGGAATGAGACAGCTTAGGAGTTCATTCATCCAGTCAATACTTCTTTATGCCAGATGCTGTGTGGGGCACTAGGAAATCAACAGTGACCACAATGCAGTTCCTGCTCTTTAGTTGACCCCATCCCCTAACTCCAGGCTAGTGAGAGGGGAGAAATAAAATAAACATAACAGATATTAGAAGTACTATCTACCTGGTAGGAGCCAGGTGAGAGGTGTACAAAGGGCATTTGGTGGCAAAGGAAGAGGAGCAAGTGAGCTTTGTTTGTGGTTGGGAATTGGGACAGGCTTTTTTTTTTTTTTTTCTTTGAGTTGGAGTCTCTCACTGTTGCCTGGGCCGGAGTGCAATGGCACCATCTCAGCTCACTGTAACCTCTGCCTCCTGGGTTCAAGCGATTCTTCTGCCTCAGCCTCCTGAGTAGCTGGGATTACAGGCACCCGCCACCATGCTTGGCTAATTTTTTGTATTTTTAGTAGAGATAGGGTTTCACCATGTTGGGCAGGCTGGTCTTGAACTCCTGACTTCGTGATCTGCCCGCCTCAGCCTCCCAGAAAGTTGGGATTACAGGCATGGGCCACCGTGCCCAGCCTTCCTGACTCTTAGAGGATGAATGGTAGTCAAGAGCCAGTGATGAGAGGAAGGGCATTTCAGGCAAAAGATACAGTGTGAGCAGTGAGTGTTCGAGGGGATCTGCAAGTATTTCATTGTGTCTGGAGCCTAAAAATGTGAGAATGGATGGTGGTGGGGGGTAAGATTAGAGAGCTCAAGTACTAAGCTAATATTTCCATAGTCCCCACCATGTCTCAGTCATGGCTCTTTTTTTAAATTAAATTAAATTAAAAAAAAATAGAGACAGGGTCTTGCTGTGTTGACCAGCATGGTCTCAAACCCCTAGGCTCAAGCGATCCTCCCATCTTGGACTCTCAAAGTGCTGGGATTACAGCCTTGAGCCTCAGCCTTGACACCCAGCCTCAGGCATAGTTCTAAGCCCTTCACATATATGAACTTGCTAGTTTATTCCATGTGTTAGCTCTATGAGAGAGATTCTTATTAGTCTGTTTCATAGATGAGAAAATTGAGACTCACAAAGGGCCCTGTAGGTCATGGCGAGGAGCTTTATTGGTTGACTGACTGATTGAGAGACAGAGTCTTGCTCTGTTGCCCAGGCTGGAGGGCAGTGGTGCAATCTCAGCTCACTGCAACCTCTGCCTCCTGGGTTCAAGTGATTCCCTTGCCTCAGCTTCCCAAGTAGCTGGGACTACAGGTGTGTGCCACCATGCCCAGCTAATTTTTATATTTTTTAGTAGAGATGGGGTTTCACAATATATTGGCCAGGCTGGTCTTGAACTCCTGACCTAATGTGATCCACCTGCCTCGGCCTCTGAAAGTGCTGGGATTACAGGCGTGAGCCAGAGTGCCTGCCCAGGAGCTTTATTTTTAATTTTATCTTGGACTTTATCTTGAAGGCCAGGTATTCTGAGCTATTGCCTTTGTACCCTTATGTGGGGGGTGTTACAGGCCCATTTGATGATTTTATGTAGACCCTCCCAGAAAGATGGAAGTATGAACATGCCTCTGTTGCACAATTTCAGGGAGCTCCTGAATCCTCTGGAGCTCCGGGCAGAAGTACCTCCAATGTGAGGCATCAGGAGTCATCCAAGGACCTTCAACTTGGGAGTAACTTGGTCAGATCGATACTATTAAGCATGTGGTTTCTGTGAGGAGTGGGATTAGAGGGTGAAGATACAGGTCCTGAGACCTGTTAGGAGGTTGTAGCAACAGGGCAGAAAGAGAAAGTGTTGACCAAAAGGAAGGTAGCTGCCACAGTAGTGTCTGTGAACCTCAGTTTTCTCATCTGTAAAATGGGAAGTTTTTGAGGATTATATACAGCAATGCATATATATGATGTATATGTATATTTGTATATGGATTGATGCATATAAAGTGCTGCCACATAGTAAACATACAATAATTATCTACTATTACTAACGTGGCCAGCTTAGTAAGTTGTGCAGCTAGTATTTGGCTCCAGGTCCACCTGGTTAACCATGATGAAATAATGAGATTAGATTGCTTTGGAGTCTCCTCCTTACATCCTCCTGGCTTCTTCTCTCATTCCTCAGTAGAGCCCCTGGAGTAGTGGGGAGAGGGGAGGGATCAGCTGCTGGAATCCTGACATGATTTTTCCTTCTCCTCAGATCACCGAGACCCAGAGGCTGGGCCTGGCTATGGCCCTAGAACCTAACACGACCTTCCTGAGGAAGTCCCTGCAGGCTGCCTTGAAACATTTGGGCCCTTGACCATCCACCAAGGGATCACCCTCTTGGAACTCCATCAGCAGCTTCCTGAAGGGCATTTCTGCCTTTACCGCCTTGTCATGAGCCCTAGCCTGAGGGTAAAGGCTGAGCCTAGCCATTCCAGGTTCCAACTGCCTCCCTCTTCAGGCTGCAGAGGGACCATATTGGCTTCTCAGCCAGCAGGGAGGCTCCTGGGCTAAGGGAGTTCAACTACATTTTCTCTTTCTTTTGTTTTGTTTTGTTTTGAGAGAAGGTATTGCTCTGTCATCCAGGCTGGAGTGCAGTGGTGTGATCAATCATGGCTCACTGCAACCTCTGCCTCCCAGGCTTAATCCTCCCATCTCAGCCTCCCAAGTAGCTGGGACTACATGCACATGCGCTGTGCCCAGCTAATTTTTTTTATTTTGTAGATAATCAACTTGTCAGGGCTGGTCTTCAATTCCTGAGCTTAAGTGATCTTCCCGCCTTGGCCTCCCAAAGTGTTGAGATTACAGGCATGAGCCACCATACCAGGCCATAGCTATATTTTCAAAGGCTGCTGACGCCAGGCCCACTCCTCATCAATTCTCAGGCTGCAGGGACAGAAACTTTCTGATAGGGCTCAGTAGGGTCAAGCTGACCCAGAGTAGACATGAGATGCTCTAGGAGGTCTGGGGTACCAGTGTGCTCAGATGAAGCTCTTGTGCTTCTGTATGTTATGACTCTCTGTGTTTTGTTTCTGACGAATAATAATTTATCAATGGTATTGAATAAAAAGTAAGTTCAATAATGTATTTTTTTTTGTTTTGAGACAGAGTCTCACTCCGTCACGCAGGTTGGAGTGCAGTAGCGTGATCTTGGCTCACTGCAACCTCTACTTCCCTGGTTCAAGCAATTCTCCAGCCTTAGCCTCCTGGGTAGCTAGGATTACAGGCGTATGCCACCATGCCCGGCTCATTTTTGTATTTTTAGTATAGACAGAGTTTCACTACATTGGCCAGACTGGTCTCGAACTCCTGACCTCAGTTGATCTGCCCGCCTCCTGAAGTGCTGGAATTACATGCATGAGCCACCTCGGTTATTGAATTCACTATCAAGTGAAAGTTCACTTTAGGACCTTCCCAGCTGTTCTCTGCAGGCGTTGTGTGAGTCCAGGAACAGAACTTTTCTGACACTTCATTACCACGAGAGTTCACGTTAAAGCAAGTGCTGAGGAAGGGAGGCCTGGCCGAGGAACAAGGCTTGCTTTTGAAAACATAAGCTGGTGAGGAGGGCACGAGGAGAGAGTGGCTTGAGGGACAAGCAAGCCGGAATCCACGCTGTCAGTGAACATCACGGGGCTGTACCCAGCACGTGTGACTACTGAAGCTCGAGCCCTTGAACCCAGCTGGTTCCCTAGGGGCCCAGCAGCAGCGGGCGCGAAGCGGGGCGCCCAGGACTGCGGCAACTCTGGGTTTCCGCGCCGGCTTGGCGGCGCAGCGACGGCCCCCAGCGGCCAAAGAAGGCCGCGCTCCTCCGAGCTGGCCGACCCCACCTCTCTTAAAACTAGGACCGAGGAACAAGGCATTCTCGCGAGATCAGGGTCACTATTTGAGCGCATGCGCAAAGCATTCTAGTCTCTGTTCCGGTTGGCGTGGTAGGAGAAGCCATGAGGTGAGTGGTGCTGAAAGCCCTATCGGCGTTCATCTGCGCCTCCAGGTGCCGGGGCAAGGATGTGGACCCTGCAGGCCGAACTGCGGACCCTTGCGCCAACTTCGCCGCGGGGCACGTCTCACGGCGGGTCGGCCTGCGTGTCGCCCTTCCTACCAGTTCCAGTCACCGAGAGCCTCCCTCTTCCGCCGGGGCTTGGGTCTGGGTCTGGGTCTGGGTTTTGGCTCCCATCGCTCAACATGGTATCCGGAATCCACGAGGGAGTCCGCCGTGGGCCGCCTGCCCGTCTCTAAGCCTGAAGCCTCGGAGTCTTCCGAGCAGGCCGAGCGTGTGGACTCCGCAGCTCTGAGTGAGCTATCGTTTCTCTTCCGCAGCAGCAAAGTCTCTCGCGACACCCTGTACGAGGCGGTGCGGGAAGTCCTACACGGGAACCAGCGCAAGCGCCGCAAGTGAGTGCCGGCTCTGGGGCAGGGCGCGGGTGGCGAGGGCCGGCGGCTGCTTACTTAACCCCTTTCCTCTCTCGAAGGTTCCTGGAGACGGTGGAGTTGCAGATCAGTTTGAAGAACTATGACCCCCAGAAGGACAAGCGTTTCTCGGGCACCGTCAGGTTGGCACCGTTCTGACCCCACCCAGCGCTCAGTGCCCCCGTACCTGCCCCTCCCCTGCAGCTCCCGCTGAGCCGGAGGCGGGCACGTCGGTACTGATGTGCCAGGGTAGTTCAGACCCCCTGCTCCAGGCAGGCGTGGCTGGACGGACCCCCACCCTGGGTCTTAAAACATGAGGGGAGGCGTGGGGAGGCCTCGGCCGAGCCCGCCGGCCAGTCTGAGAAGCCAGGCTGGCTGCTGGTGAATGTGGACGCTCTGGGTAAGGCTTGGTGCCTGCTGCGGTCCCAGACCCTTCACCAGACCTTGGGACTCAGGGCTAGGCATAACCTGTTGGTTCTCCCAAACCCAGGCTTAAGTCCACTCCTCGCCCCAAGTTCTCCGTGTGTGTCCTGGGGGACCAGCAGCACTGTGACGAGGCCAAGGCCGTGGATATCCCCCACATGGACATCGAGGCGCTGAAAAAACTCAACAAGAATAAAAAACTGGTCAAGAAGCTGGGTGAGTCCAGCCGCTGCGGTTTTGCGTGTGAGATGTGGGTTGGGAGCAGACGGTCATGGGAATGGTAGAAGGACGGCTTTTCTGCCATTTCGATTTTTAAATGATGAGGGGGCTAGAACAGCGCAAAGGATTGGCAGTGGTTGCTTAGTTGGCCTGACTGCTGTTTTAGCTTTGTGGTGGTTTGATGTTTGTATTTGCTATGAGGATTCAGGTTGATAAGGAGGGAGGCCAGACATTGTAAGTTGACCAGTCAGGTGCTGGTGAGCTATGCTTTGGGAATCTTTATGCTGCGTTGTTTAGGCAGCGGCATTTAGACTGCTTTTAAAGGTAGGAAGCAGACGTTCCCAGTTGTCAAATGTCCAGGGTCTACAGTTAAGAAATAGGAAGGCAGAATTCGAGCCCAGGCAGTGTTGACTGGAGCATCTGTTGTACAGTGGTTATGTCATGGATTGTGGGTCATCCTGATCTTCTGACACCATGTTTTGGGTCCAGTGACTTTCCAGAACTTTCAGGAAACCACTTGGGCTGGGGAAAAGACTGAGGTGGAGTCAGAGAGGGTGCTGCTTTGGAGGTCACTTACATGGTTGATTCAGGTGTACTTCCGGCCTGCCACATTTGAGGTGTGTCTTGGTGACCAGGTGTCCTAAGCAATGCCAATGGGTTCCTCTCTTTACCAGCCAAGAAGTATGATGCATTTTTGGCCTCAGAGTCTCTGATCAAGCAGATTCCACGAATCCTCGGCCCAGGCCTAAATAAGGCGGGAAAGTTCCCCTCCCTGCTCACACACAATGAAAACATGGTGGCCAAAGTGGATGAGGTGAAGTCCACGATCAAGTTCCAAATGAAGAAGGTGAGGGGGTCTGGTGGGTTGCTATGGGTGAAGGTGCTGGCAGGGTCCAGATCTTACCCAAGTCTCTAAATGTGCCAGTAGGAGTCCCACCAGGATTGAAACTTCACCCTAGTCTTCCTTGGCCTGGGTCCTAGTATCTGCTCACTAGGTCACTGTGGGAGGAGGGATGGGCCATTTGCCATCCTTCCACCAACCTGACTTGATCCTCTCTCTCCTCTCAGGTGTTATGTCTGGCTGTGGCTGTTGGTCACGTGAAGATGACAGACGATGAGCTTGTGTATAACATTCACCTGGCTGTCAATTTCTTGGTGTCATTGCTCAAGAAAAACTGGCAGAATGTCCGGGCCTTATATATCAAGAGCACCATGGGCAAGCCCCAGCGCCTATATTAAGGCACATTTGAATAAATTCTATTACCAGTCCCCTCTGTCTGTCTGTGATTGAGAGTGGGTGGTGGTTTGTCAATTGACAAGTGAGTGCCTTGGCACTGCTGATGGCTAGCTGTTGTAGTTTGTGACCTTGATGATGGATAGTTGGGTACTACAGGGAAGAGGATGTTTTTATGCCATCAAAATTAGGCAGTCTTGGGAGGCTTGCTAAACAGGACTGAAGCTTTGACAGGATTGGTCTGTGTAAACTTAAGAGGATCTTAGCATTTCTGTGTTAACAGGCGCCATGTCGAGTATACTGTGCTTTGGGTAATGAGTAAAATGTTAAGGAAAACAAGGAACAGCAACAGTACAAAATTGTAATTTTTTTTTTTTTGAGATAGAGTGCAGTCCAACCCAGGCTGGAATGCAGTGGCACCATCTTGGCTCACGGCAATCTGTGCCTCCTAAGTTCAAGCAATTCCCCTGCCTCAGCCTCCTGAGTAGCTGGGATTACATTTACCATCCACTATGCCCAGCTAATTTTTTTTTTTTTTAGTAGAGACAGGTTTTCACCATCTTGGCCAGGCTGGTCTTGAACTCCTGACCTTGTGATCTGCCTGCCTCCCAAAGTGCTGGGACTACAGGCATGAGCCACTATGCTCAGCCAGGGTCCTGTTAATTCTAGGGGAACCAGCATTAGGTAGAGTCAGGCCATGGAAACTTCCAGGTTCTTGCCCCAGGTGTGCTTAGCCCCCCTCCCTTTCTGAGGCATTTCCCTGTTACAGTTCTTGTCTCCAGCACCTAGTAGTGGAAAGGTGGCTTTTGGTGTGGTGGGAAATACCTGCTTTTTAACCTCTGACTTAAATCAACTTCGTTTGACTGGGAAATAGGGGACCCAGTTCATCCCTGTTTTTTAATAGAAGGTTATTTTATTTTTTGAGACGTTTCACTCTTGTTGCCTAGGCTGGAATGCAGTGGTGTGGTCTCTGCTCACTGCAGCCTCTGCCTTTTGGATTCTCCTGCCTCAGCCTCCTGAGTAAGTAGCTGGGATTACAGAGACATGCCACCATGCCCAGCCAATTTGAAAAAATATATCTATATTTAGTAGAGATAAGTTTCGCCACGATGGCCAGGCTGGTCTTGAACTCCTGACATCGTGATCCACCTGCCTCAGCCTCCCAAAGTGCTGATATTACAAGCATAAGCCACCGAGTCCAGCTGAGAAGGGTTATTTTAAAGCATAAAAGTGATACTTAAAAACAGTGCATTTTGGCTAGGTGCAGTGGCTCATGCCTGTAATCCCAGCTAGTAGGCTGAGGCAGAACTGTTTGAACCCAGGAAGTAGAGGTTGCAGTGAGCGAAGATGCTGCACTCCTGCCTGGGTGACAGCAAGACTGTTGGTGAGGAGCGAGGAATGAATGTTGCATTTCTTAAAACAGCTTTACCTGTCCCTGAACTGTGAAGAACATGGTTTTCACTCAGCAAGTTGTGCTTTTAGTTTTCTCTTTGTATTTTTAGTAGAGACAGGTTTCTTCATGTTGGGCAGGCTGGTCTTGGACTCCTGATGTCAGATGATCTGCCTGCCTTGGCCTCCTAAAGTGCTGGGATTACAGATGTGAGCCGCCACACCTGGCTAACTTTTTTAGCTTTTAAGTTACAGCAGTTTCTTGGTAAGGCAGGTATAAAACCTAATGAGGATGATGAGCAGTGAATTTTGGTTCTCAAGACAGGTCCAGCCAGCTACTTCCTCTTGTCTAGGTTATTTTTCTTTGGGTTTTTATGTATTTTCCAAACCTCCTGTGATCTTTGCAATTGGAAGGAAAAGGGAAACTTTAGGTTTAAGTAAATAAAGCAAAAGCAATTATCTGAAGGCTCTTGTGTGCTAGTTGCCCATAGATGTAATCAGTGTCCAGTAGATCTAACACGAATTTCTGCCTCCTGGGCTCCTCCTACTTACTGGGGCTCTGGGCACCCACCCATCCAGCAGGTGAAAGTTTGGGGATCCCTAGTGGGATACCAGGCGCACATTGGAATCCTGAGGAGTATATTTAACATGTCTCAAGTTTTCCCCATCTGTTAAGATGATTCTAGAGGATTGCCAGATTTAGCAAATAAAAATGCAGGATGTCCTTAGTAATGTGTGGAACATGCTTAAATCATCCGTTTATCTGAAATTAAAATTTAACTGGGTGACCCCCATTCTGTTTAACTCTTATTCTAGCCTGCCACCCTGAGAGCAAATAGTCTCATCCTTTGATGGAGTGAGTCCAGTCAGCTCACCCATATTTAACTGTAGGAGAAAAGGCTGGAACAGACTCTTTGGGCAAATGTCCGCTGAAAGTCTTGAAGTATCTCTGCCTCAGCCCTGTAATGACTGGTCCCAACTGCGGACGGGTGGCTCAGGACAGCAGGCCTTTCCAGACAGACATGGGTAGGTCAGCAGCTGTCACCTGGGGAGAGTGCTTACCCTCCTTCAGTCACAGGGTCAATGAATAACCTCCAGGCCTTGATCTGTGTTGTGCTGGCTTAGCTGAGGCCTGGAGCTCCATCTCAGTCAATGTACGAACCTGAGCAAATCACTTCCCTTAGGGGCCTCAGGTACAAGTGCTCAGCTCGAAGCAGGAGGGAGTGAGGGAAATGCTGAGTGTGGGTAGGGCTTGGGGCCCCCCAAGAGATGGCTTTGCAGGGGTTGGGGGTGATGACACACTAGGACCTGGGAGGAGCTCTCACCTGAAGCTGTTCAAATCCAAAGGTCTGGCACACAAGTGATTGTATGACTGACCCACAAACATATAACTTTAATTTTTTTTTTTTTTTTTTTTGAGCAGGAGCTGGGCCTTGATGGTCCCTGCCCCAACCCCAAGCCGCATTTATGATACAACCCATCACAGCTGGATTTTAAAAATACACAAAAAAATATATAATATACATTATAAAACCTAGGTGGGGTTTGGAGGTGGCCTGAGCAATATGCAAACGGTGAGGACCTTCAGGAAGCTCGGGCAGGGTCAGGATGAGGAAGGGAAGGGGCACAGTACTTCATATGAAACTCATAAATACCCACAGGTGGCTGCTGGTCAGGCCCGGCTGGCTCTGGGGGCCTGGGTGTTGAGAAGGGGCAGCAGGGGAAGGGTTAACCTTCAGTCCCAGCACTGGGTCTGGGAGCTGCTGCTCCGGGCAGGTAGACTGAGGTGGAGAAGAACCTAAGGGAGCAGTGCCCACCAAGGGTTTGTCAGATCCCAGCCTTGGGCAAGAGAAAAACCAAAAGCCTTCTGCTAGCCTTCCCTCCAGGCTTCTGGTCTGCCCAGAGGCTGGGACTCCTTCCTCTACCTTGCCCTCAATCTGGAGGGTGCTGGGGGTTGCCCCATCTTCCTGGAGCCCCGCTGGTTGGCTTGTGGGCTGATGGGGTGCCTAATAAGGGTCTATTGCTGTAGAAACAGGTGCTCCCCTAACCCAGCTGTCCTCGAGGAGTTTGAGGAGGCTCCACTCTTCACACTGCAGAGCCTCTCCCCAACCCTGTGGCCAGCCCTTGCCCCAGGGAGGTAGTGTAAACCTGGGCTCTGGGGACAGGCAGCCCTGGATGAGAACTCCAGCTCTGCCCACCTCTCCTGTGGGTCACTCAACTTCCTGGAGCCTCGGCACTTCACCTGAAACCTGGAGACCCACACTTGCTGTGCAGAGTCTAGCACCGCACAAGCCAGGCAAGGAGTCTGGGCACCAAGCCTGGCACACGGAAGGGGCAAAGAAGTGTGGGCCCCTCTGCCCTCAGAGCCCAACCCTGACCTGACACTCTCCTTTTCCAGGGCCTCCGCTTGCTGACTCCCTCGGTCTCCATCCTGCCCTCAGCTGCCCATGACACTCCCCCACGGTGGAGCAGTGGCCACACATGCCAGAGGCTGAAGGTGTTCCCCCTCCCCACCTCTCTGAGGTCACACAAGGCTGGGCAGAGCGGAGTGATGGTGGATCAGCGCTGGCGGGCAGGCTGCCCCACTGCTGAGCCCTCCTCTCCTCAATTAAAGCGCAGAACAGTGGCAGGGAGTGTGTGCTGGGGTAGGTGGGGAGGCCTCCTGGGTCCTGGGCCTGAGGCCTGGCAGGTAGATGAGTCCTCAATCCTGGACCCCCCCCCAGGGGTGCCAGGCAGGTGTGGAGAGGAGATGCTCACCCTGCATCCTTACGGAGGCGCAGAGGGCACCCTAGTCTTTGACGAGCTTGTAGACATGGTGCTGGGCCCCGTGCTCGCTGGTGGAGACTTCGAAGACAAAAGCAATGACAAGCAGGGTCTCCTGGGAGTCCCGGCTCGTGACCACCTGGGGGATGAGCAGGTAAGAGATTCAGGAGGTCAGGGGGAACAGGGCCATGGGGCAGGGAGCCGAACAGACCCCTCTCCTTTCCGGATCTGTGCCTCTCATCCGAGTGATGTGTCTGGCTACCCAACTTTGAGGACCCTGGCCTGTGGGACTCACCATGACCCCTGCTGCCCCCCATACCTGCAGGATGGTGAAGTTCTCCAGCACGCTGTTCATCATGTACTTCTCGGGCAGGTGCTTCAGCTTGTGGATGAAGTTGATCATATACTCGCACATGGGCGAGCGGTGGATACGGTACACAAAGCGCCCGTTCTCCAGCCTAGCGTACTCAGTCTGCAGAGAGCATGGAGAAGGCATCACTCAGCCAGCCTGCTCCCAGCCCCCCCAAGCCACCCTGAGTCCCCACTCACCTCCACCTTCTCTACCACCTGTTTGCCAAAGGAGCACACCTTGGTGGAGACGCTGATGGTCATGCTATCAGCAGAGCTGTACTGAGAGCTGACCCCATAGAAGGCTCCTGGGCCCTCCTGGATGGTACTGTTGAGGTCGGCCTGGGCATGGGGGTGAGGGTGTTAGGTGCTGGCAGAGACCAGGATTCCCGCCACACCACATCAGAGTCCTCCCCAAGGACCCATCTCTGGCACTTTGCCCATAGGCCATGAGGAGATGGAGCAGGGCCAGAGGTCAATGCAGTGGGCCTGGATGTTGCACCTCTGGGGTAAGGAAGGGGGCTGGGAGCAGAGAGGGCTGGGGGACTCACCCAGAACTTGACGAGGAAGAAGGCATTAGGGGGCCCTTTCTCATAGAGCTCCTTCAGTCCCCCCTTTTTCTCGGGGAACTTGTCATAGATCTGGCGCACATCTACTGCCTCCAGGGGTGGGTCTGAGAAGGCGGGGTTTGTCTGGCCGATGTGCACAAACAGGTGTTTGCTGTACTGTGGGGAGGGCCCAGACAGGGTCAGGAGAGCACTCAGACATGCAGACCCGAAGGCAGGGAAGGGGGCACTACACAGGCACAGAGGCACAGAATTGCCTGGAGCTTCCTGAACAGGCCACACCCCCAACCCAGGACCCCGAGTTTCAGTCGTGGATCACCCGGCTGGCCTCTCCACAATTGTGCAAAGCCTCACCCTCACCCCCAAACATGTTACCGTGTCAGGGTCTCGCTGCACCTCCATGAAGGCTGAGTACTCGAGGAGCCGCAGCCGGGAGGAGGCAATGGTGCGGTCCTGCCACACGGGCACAGAGGCAGCAGCTGGGGGCAGCGGGGCCAGGGGCTCATAACCTGGGAGGCGAGATGGATTCTCATCCGCATGGGCGCATGCAGGTGCTTACTGACAAAGCCGCCCCAGCCTGCAAAGGTGCCCCTTTTGGAAAGGAACATGGGTTGGATTTTGACTCCCCTACTAGGTGTCCTTGTACAGTGTACAACCTGCACAACCATATGTGGTGGCCCTAGCAGTAAACATCAAAAACATTACTCTGTGTGACTATTAATGTGTGTTTAAACAGAAAACACAGAGAAGTCAAAAAGGGAAAGAACACTTACCCAGAATCCCACCATCTAGAGAGAGTGAGCCTTGTTAAGATTTCAGCGCATTTCCTTACAGGGATGTGTATAAACGTAGGTTTTGGAGGTGTGTACTTGTGGTCCTTACAGGGACGTGTATAAACGTAGGTTTTGGAGGTGTGTACT